GCGCCGATCCGTAGCTCCGGGGCTCCGTGCCAGCTCGGCGATTGACGCGTTCGCTGCGACGCGCCCTGGCCTGCCCGTGCGGGCCGCGGAGCGGCGCAGGGGCAGGGTCGCGCGTCGCCGTTGGCCCCGCCGGGGATGAGGGTGGGCGCCACCGCTTCGCGGTGGCGCTGCCTGGATGATGGCTCTCGGTGCTCCGATATCGTGCGGTGCCATGTCGCCGCCTGGACATTCGGGGGGCGGGATCGCCAGTCGTTGCCGGGCTCGCGGGCTCGTGCCCCGTGGTGTCGGCGGCCGCTGGCGGCCGCTCGCCTCGTGGCTGTCGCTGTTCGTCGCCGCGATTCTCGTAGCGGAGGCTACAAATAATCCTCTCAGGTGCTGGCGCTGGAGACCCTGGCATTCGGATGCAACTCCTAGGAGGTCAAATTCTGATTTTGCCCTGGTCTGGAATCCAATCTTTATCCCGCTTGATTCCGTCTCATCTGGCTTGACCTGGCTGTATCCCGTTTAATCCAATTTAATCTTCAGCCGAATCCGGCGAAGCAGCCCCCAAATGGGGTTTGATTTTCGAAGACCTCCCAGTAGTTGCCTCCCAAGGAGCGGAGGCTGCAAGTAATCCTCTCCTCGGACGCTGGCGCTGGAGGAGGAGGATGAGGAGGAGGAGGATGAGGAAGGCGCCGAAGACAGGAGGAGGGGACGGCGCCGAGGAGAGGATCACGAGGAGTACGAGGATGATGAGGGTGAGGAAAACGAGCAGGAGGAGGACGAGGAGGAGGAGGAGGACCAATGTAAACCCAAGACTCATCAACGATGTCGGAATGAACTCTCCGCCCAAGCTCCCTCTTCACAGGTGCCTACAAGGATTGATTCATTTATACTGAGGGAAGTGCTCCGTTAGGAAGTCACCGTTTGAGGATCCGGAAGCGTGCCAAAGCACTAGTCCCTGGAGTTCAACGCCACGAATCAACCTTACTTTTGCGTCTTGACGATCCCCGATCGTCCAGAACACCATTCCTGGGATTCCACCACCTCGAATCAACGTAACCGTTGGGCCCTGACAATCCTGAACCGTTCCGAAACACAGTTTCTTGTACGTTAACAGTGGGAATCCGTGCACTTCATGCAATTTGTTAAACGAATGTGCGCGGCGCTGAGACGGGAACCACATTTTGAAAAGGAATCGCCCTCAAGTCGCGAAGCTTTTGCAACTTTTAACATGAATGTGCGCGGCGCAAAGGCGAGATCTACATTTTGACACGTACCAGCCCTCAATCCGTGAAGCTCTTGCATTTTTGAATGACGAGTGTGCGCGGCACTGAGGCGAGAACCATTTTCTTAACATCACTCGCCTTTAACACGTTGTACCCTTGCAGATGTTTGAAACGAATGTGCGCGGCGCTAAGGCGAGAGCCGCATGTCGAAAACGACCTGCCTTCAATCCGTGAAGCTCATGCAAATTGTTGGGACGAGTGTGCGCGGCGCTAAGGCGAGAGCCACGTTGTGAAAGCGACCCGCCCTCCATCTGTGAAGCTCTTGCCAACTTATTAGCCTCAGGGTCAGAGTGGTAAGGACGTCTCAGGCGAAACGGCCAGCCCGCCTTTTCGACCAGCCTCGGCGTGAGACAAGGAGGAGGAGGAGGAGGAGGAAGAGGAGGGCGCCGAAGACAGGAGGAGGGGACGGCGCCGAGGAGAGGAGCACGAGGAGGAGTATGAGGATGATGAGGGTGAGGAGAACGAGGAGGACGAGGAGGAGGAGGAGGAGGATTAGGAGGATGAGGAGGAGGAGGAGGACCGCGGTGTGAACCCAAGAGTCATCAACGGTGTTGGAATAAACCCTCCCTCCAAGCTCCCTCGTCACAGACACCTACAAGGATTCATTACCACTGAGGGACCTGCCTCGTTGGGGGACAACCGTTTGAAGACCCTGAAGCATGCCAAAGCATTATTCTCGGGACTCCAACGCCACAGATGAACCTGACTGTTGCGTCTTGAGGATCCTGAATCGTGCCAGAACGCCATTCTTGGGACTTCAACACCGCGAACCAACGTAACTGTTGCACCCTCATAATTCAGAATCCTTCTGGAACACCATATCTGGTACGTCGACCATGGGAATCCGTGAAACGCTTGCATGTTTTGAAAAGGGATGTGCGCGGCGCTGAGGCGAGAGCCACATTTGGACAAGGAACCGCCCTCAATACGCGAAGTCCTTGCACATTTTAACAGCGAATGTGCGCGGTGCTAAGGCGAGAGCCACATTAAAAAGAGCACCCGCCCTCCATTTCTGAAGTTTTTGTCAATTTTTAGCTTCAGAGTCATAACTAGCGAGGAAGTCAGGCGAAACGCCGACCCGCCTTACAGACAAGTCTGGCGTGCGAGGGGGAGGAGTTATCTATAGGAGTAGGGACGGGCGACGACCAGTGTAAACCCAAGACTCATCAACGATGTCGGAATCAACTCCCTCCAAGCTCCCTCTTCATAGGTGCCTGCAAGGATTGATTCATTTTCAGGGTGGGAAGTTCCCCGTTGAGAGATAAACGTTTGAATATGATGAAGCGTGCCAAAGCATTATTCGATGGACGTCGACGCCCCGAGTCAACCTGACCGTTGCGTCTCCGCGATCCTGAATCAATGTAACTGTTGCGCCCTGACAGTCCTGAATCGCTCCGAAGTGTCATTTCTGGTACGTTAACCACGAGGAGCCATCAAACTTGGGGCAAGTTCTTAAGACGAGTGTGCACGGCGCGCAGGCGAGAGCCACGTGTGAAAAAGGAGCCGCCCTCAGTCCGTGAGGCTCTGGCATTCTTGTACGACGAATGTGCGCGGCGCTAAGGCGCGGGCCACATCTTGAACATGACCCGCCTTCCTTCCGTGAAGTTTTTTTTGTGAGGCGAATGTTTGCGGCGCTGAGGGGAGAGCCACATTTTGAAAACCAGCGGCCCTCAATCCGTGAAGCTCTTGCAATTTTGTAGATCGAGTGTACGCGGCGCTGAGGCGAGAGCCACGTTTTAAACGCTGCCGCCCTCAATCCGTGAACCTTTTTCATACTTGAAAACCAGTGTGCGCGGTGCTAAGGCGAGAGCCGCATTTTGAAAACGACCCGCCCTGTATCCGTTCAATTCTTGAAACATGTCAAACTTCAGGGTCAGACGTGGTAAGGCAATCTCTCGCGAAACGACCAGCCCGCCCTTCCGACTGTTTTCGGGGTGAGACACGGGAGAGTTTCTCATAAGGACAAGGAATGGAGGGTGATGAGGAGGAAGAGGACGACGATGAAGATGCTGATTTTGATGATGAGGGTGACATTGACGATGATGATGACGATGATGATGATACTGATGATGCTGATGCTGATTATGATGATTCTGGTTAGGATGATGAGGAGGATGAGGAAGAGGAGTATGATCATGATGATGATGATGCTGCTGATGAGGAGAAGGAGGAGGAGGATGAGGAGGAGGAGGAGGAAATGAGGGCGCCGATGACAGGAGTAGGGAACGGCGCCAAGGAGAGGTCCACAAAGAGGATGAGGACGAGGAGGAGGATGAGGGTGAAGAGTCCTCAGGAGGAGGAGGAGGACGAGGAGGAGGAGGAGGAGGTGGAGGAGCAGGATGAGGAGGATGCGCTACTCCTCTCCCCTCCGCTCGGCCGCCTGACGGGTCAGGTTTGCGCGCGGGCGACGAGGATAGCCAGAGCGTTGAGGCCACGCTCGCCGAAGCAGGGCGCGCTTCCGCCCCTCCAGCGCTCCGTCCTGTCGTTTTTGTTTACATGTGTGCCTGATTTGTTTCCATTGCAGCCTAGTGCAAACTTAACCACGACGTGTCCGCTGCGAAGCTCCCGACTCGAAAGTGTCCTAGATGCGTTTCCTTTCTCCCATAGCTTGCACCACATAGCTTGCAACGCATTGCTTGGACCACACAACGTGCACAGGACGCAGCACGCAGCTTGTCACGCATAGCTTTCACCACTTATGCTGCATCACATAGCTTGCATCGCACAGCTTTGCGTACATAGCTTTCACCATACAGCTCGCACCACGTTACCTGTACCACGTTGACGGCACCACAACTTGGTCTTGGTCGTAGCTTCGGCCACGCAGCTGGCAACACAGATCTATTGCATCATACACAGAACTCATGACATAGCCTACAACGCATTTATTGCGCATCGAGGGTGCGATAGCCTTTAGTTATGTGTCCACGTTGGCGAACATAATATTGTATGCATGCATGTAGGCATATGTTTAATGGCCCTCGGCCCATTCCGCCATCGTGCCTGGGTCGAGGGTCTGAAGCCAATTTGATGTTCGTTGGGATCTCGTTGGGGGCCTCTCGGGGGCCTCTCGGGGGCCTCGTGGGGCCTCCTGGGCGCATCTTGGGGCCTCCTGGAAGCTCCTTGGGGCGGAAGGCTCGGATTTTCGGGTCGTGTTGCCTCTCTTTTGGGCCCCCTTTGGGGCCGTCTTGGTGCCCTCTTGGACCGTCTTGGGCGCCTCTTAGGCTGTCTTTTTGCGCTCTGAGGCTGTCTTGGGGCCCTCTGGAAGGCCTGTTGGGTCGCTTTGGGGTGGTCTTGGGGGCCTCGTTGGCCGTCTTGAAGCGTCGGAAATTCCTAAAAGGCGAGAACACCAACATCATTCAAAAACCGAGGAACAATTCATGAATTTGTTCTCTTGGGGCCCTCTTGGGAGGCCTCTTGGAGGCCTCTTGGGGCGTCTTGGAGGTCTCTTGGGCCATTTCGGGGTCATATTGGGCGTGTTGGAACGATTTTCGGCGATTAGGGGCCCTCTTGGATTGTCTTGGGGGCCTCTTGGGGCCCTCTTGGCCAGTCCTGGGGCCCTCTTGGGCCTCGAAGTTCATGCGACAAGATGCGCCGGATCCCGAGGGCATCCGCTGGAGCCCCGGGGGCACGCGCCAAGCCTGAGGAGATTTCTGAGATTCGGGTCCGGGCCCTCAAATCTCCTCAGGACTGAGGGTTGAGGCTCCGGGGATTGAGCAAAGAACCTGAGGACACGCCCACTCGGTGTCCACCGGCACGGTGGCGGATATTCCCGTTTGTCTTTATCGATGCCAACGCTCGCCTCTCAGCGGGCATGCACTCCTCTGTCGGCCCGTTCAACAGTGAGGAGATTAATGAGAACGCTCTCTACTTTGTTGCCCTCTTGCGGCACTTGCAGATGGCAGCGTACAACACGTTCTTTGACGCAGGCCCCACTTGGTGCTCTGCCCATAGCCTCTGGCACCGCATTGACTACGTGTGCGGGCCGGAGCGGCATCTGCCTCAGGTTCCCCGCGCGTGGTGCCCGGCGGACTTGGACCTCTCGCTCACAATGCAGCGGGATCATCTGGCGGTCTTGGCGGACGTCTTACTGGTCCCGCCTCCCGGCACTCGGCCGCGACAGGCATCCGCGGCGGTGATTGCGAAGCATAACCTTGCGTCCCCGGCTCGCGTCCAGCACTTCCAGGAGCTCCTCCGCGACTTCCACTTCGTCGGCGGCTCCGTGGACCAGCAGCGCGCCAAGTTCGTCGAGTACGTTCGTCGGTCGGCGCTGGAGTCTTTCGGCACTCGGCGCGACACGCCGCGGCAGCCGTGGATCACTGAGGCCACCTGGTCCTTCCTTCGACATGTCACGCCGATGCGTCGGAGGGCATTTGATGCCGCTGCACAGCGTTCCGTTGCCTATCACCGCGTCCTGTTTGCTGCTTGGGCCGCTGCGACGCCTCGTCCCTACGTGCCCAATGCGCCGCTACCAGCACTCGGGTGGGGCGCAGCTGCTCGCGTCGACGGTCTTCGCGCTGTATGGCGTCAGCACTGTTGCCATGCTGCGTTGCTCTGGCGGTTGCTGCACTTTATCTCGCGCTCGACGAAGTTGCTCGTCTCCGCCGACCGCCTCACGTTCCTGCACAGTCGTGCTCAAGACGCGGCCGATGCGGCCATGCGCGGCGACTCCAAGTCGTCCTACGGTATCGTGCGCTCGCTCTCTGGCCGGAACGTCGGTAAACAGCTTACGCACATCCGCAAAGCTGATGGCGAGCTCACCCGGACGGACGAGGAGCGCGACAAGGCATGGCTCGCGCACTTCGCGCGCGTCTTCGACGCCACCGCCGTCTCCTTCGACGCCTTGGAGAGGCTACCGCTTGCTCCGCCGCTCTCCATGACTGTCGCGTTCGACGAGCGGGACGTCTTCCAGGCCCTTGGCCGGCTCCGCCGCGACCGCGGCATGGGGCGCGACCTTCTCCCTGCCGAGGTCCTGCAGGCGGGCGGTGCAATCCTGGCTGCAAAGCTTTACCCGCTGTACCGTCGCGTAGCCGATGAGGAGCGGTGGCCCGTGCAGTGGGCTGGAGGTCGCCTCGCTGAAGTCTTCAAGAACAAAGGTGCTCGTGACGATCCTGATGAGTACCGAGGCGTTGTGCTCGAGGACCACCTTGCGAAGGGCATGAAGGAGGTCTTGGCGCCCCATGTTTTCGATGCCTACAACAAGGGCATCCCGGACAGCCAGCATGGTGCTGTCGGCGGACGCGGCACCGACATGGCCGCTTTCCTGCTGCAGTGCTTCGTCCCGTACTGCGACGTCCGTGGCCTCTCCTACTTCGTGCTTTTCGTCGACCTGGTCAAGGCTTTCGACAAGATTCTCCGCGAAATCACCTTCTGCATCCCTCCGCACGAGCCCGACCCCTACGCCTACCTGCGTGCCCGTGGCCTTACGCACAAGCAGGCGCTATGGGTTGCGCAGTGGGTTGGCCGGCACCACTCCCAGTTTCTGGCCTGGGGAATGTGCCCGAAAGTTGTCCGGTTGCTATGCAACCTCCACGTGATCTCATGGGTCACCTTCGGATCGTGTGACACGGCGCTCTCGGTTCTCAAGGGCGGCCGGCAGGGCTGCAAGTACGGCGCGGCTGTCTTCAACAGCACCTTCGCCTTGGCCATGCAGCTCATCATCGAGGAGCTCAGCGACCTCGGCCTCACGGTCAAGCTCTGGCAGGGCCCGCCGACCTTCTGGGACGCCGCCTCGCCTGCCGATGCCTCCGGAGCCATGGACGTCGATTCCGTAGATGATGCATTCGTGGATGACGAGGCCTTCTTCGCCTGCGCGTCGTCCCCGGCCCGCCTCGACGCCGCCATCGACAAGATGCTGGAGGTCATTTCATCGGTGTATTCTTTGCTCGCCTTGGAAATGAGCTTCAAGCCAAGGAAGACGGAGGCCTCCCTCAAGTACCGAGGCACTGGGTGCACCGCGGCACGCCAGGCACGCCGTACTGGTGCCAACGGCGAGCTTCTCCTTCCGATCCCTGGCTCGCTGCCGCACGTGGCCGTCAGGGTTGTTCACCACTACAAGCATTTGGGTAACGTGGTATCGGATGCCGGCAACTTGGTGCTCGATGCCAAGCACAAGAAGGCGGGCGCCATGCAGGCCTACGCCCCTCTGAGCATGAAGATTTTCAGATCCCCGGCGGTACCCATACCTTTAAGGCTGTCGTTCATGGCCTCGCTCATCCTCTCTCGGCTTCTCTACGCAGGCCACATCTTCGTGCCCACCGTACGATGCGTCTGAGAGCTCACGAATGTGTATATGAGGGTCCTCCGGCGCATCTTCGACGCTCCGAGGTTCGGCCCGGCCGAGACGGACAAGGAGGTACGGCTCCGCACCAAGATGCCGAGCATTGATTGTCTTCTATGCCGGGCCCGCCTCAAGTTCCTTGGCCGGCTGGTCCGCCGGCAGCCGCCGCACGTCATCGCGTTCCTCTCGACCCGTTGGCAAGACCGTCCGTTACCGTGGGTGGCACTGCTCCGGTCGGATCTGCAGCGGCTCCGTGATACGGTTGCCTTCTGCGCTGACATGCCTGAGCCGAGTGATGCTTTACCATGGTGTCGGCTCATCGTCGAGTCCCCTGGGAAATGGGCGTCTGCTATCGCTAGCGTGCATTTTTCCGATTCTATTGCGGATACGCCGTCCGCCAATGCCGCGGACGACGCACAAACGCTACCACATGTTTGTCCGGAGTGCCACAAGAGGTTCCCAACCACGCGTGCTCTTGAGAGTCATCGCCGTGCCTGGCTGCCAAGCACAAAGTCTTGGCCCCGCAGCGCTACTTTGCCCCTGCCTCTGGCATGTGCCCGAGCTGTGGTACTTGTTTCCGCTCGCGCCTCCGCCTCCTCGGACACTTATGCGATCGAAGGCGCCCCAAATGTTGGGACGCTATCCGTGTGCAGCCGAATCTGAAACTTCCAGATGACGTTGTGGCCCAGCTCGACGCTGCGGACAACAGGTCTCGCCTTTCCGCCCGTCGGGACGGCCACTCTCACGACCTCGCCGTTGGCGCGGCGCAGCGTGCTGACGGCAGGGTGGTTGGCAGAGCATCTTGGTAACTGATTTGTATGTCTGCCAGCCGCAGCGAATTCATCCAGACGCCTCATGGCCATCGGGTAGGGAAACAAAAGCAGGCGTCCATATGCCTGTACATACATGTAGACACATCTTCGTACACGTGTCTGTATGCATATGCATGGCTCCTCTGAGGGCTCCTCTGCCTCCCTGACGCCCCATACCTCTGACGCTTCGGTTGTTTTTATGAGCGCGTGCGGCCCCACGATCCCTTGACCCCAACCTCCCGCGCGGACTCTGCGCCCCGTGGGCCATTTCCTGTGGGCTGCCAGGGCCCACGTGTGCTGCCTGCGGTGCCGCCGCTGCCCGCCGTCCTGGTCGTGGTCGTCGTGGCCGTCATGGTCGTCGTGGCTCAGGTTGTCGTTGCTGTCGTCGTCGCCCTCCTCCTGAGGCGCCTTGGTCGCCGCGGTCGCCGTCAGCCCCACCGCCGTCGCCGCCGCCGCCGCCGCCGCATCCGTCATCGCCGCCGCCGCCGCCGCCATCGTCGTCGTCGTCGTCGTCGTCGTCGTCGTCGTCGTCGTCGTCGGCGGCGGCGGCGGCGGCGGCGGCGTCGGCGGCGTCGTCGTCGTCGTCGTCGTCTTCGTCGTGGTCGTCGTCGTCGTCGTCGTCGTGGTGGTCGTGGTCGTGGTCGTGGAGGGCGATCTGCCCCCCCCCCCCCTGGCCGCCGCCCGAGCCGTGGCTGCCGCCGCCCGAGCCTCGGGCGCCGCGAGGCAGCTCGCCGCCAGCCTCGTCAGCCTGCCCGAGCACCACGGCGTGTACGTTGGAGGCGCACCGCCTCCCGACGATGCGATTTTTCAGCCCCGGACGTTTTCGGACGTCCTCGTCGATTCCCGTATGTTTTCCAGCCTCGGGATGCTTTTCAGCGGCTGCGCCTCGTCGAGGGCGTCCTGGTGGTGCCCCCATCGTCCCGACCCGCCGCCGGCGTTCCGAGGTATGGCCTGAAAACCACTGGGCACCCAGATATCCGACGATCTTTTTTCTCAACCATCCTGTGGTGTTGGGTCCTCGTTTTGAAGAGACTGCGCCCCGCGTTCCTTCCTTCCTTCCCTCCTCTCCTCCTTCTCCCCCGCCTCCTCCCGCTCCTCCCTGCATGCTCTATCCTCATCCTCATCCGTTAGACTGAAAAAGCACCCACTTCGGCACACCCCTCACACGGCTCGTGGCACCAAAGGGAGCTCCGCAGAAGGCCCCAGTTGCAGGGTTTACATGCGTCCCCGCGACTCATGTCGGCACACCCCTCACCCGATTCGTGGCCCCATAGGGAGCTCCACCGAAGGCCCCTGTGGCAGGGTATACATGCGTCCGGCGACTCATTTCGGCGCACCCCTGACACGGTTCGAGGCCCCATATGGAGCTCCACCGAAGGCCCTAGTGGCAGGGCTTACATGCGCCTCCGCCACCCATTTCGGCGCACCCCTCACACGATTCGTGGCCCCACAGGGAACGACTAGAGGCTACCTCCCTGGGCGAGGGTCGGGACCCCTGGGCCTGCGCGCGGAACAGAGCAACAAGCATCGTCGGATGTCTGGGTGCTCGTCTGAGCCTTGCGGGCCTCCGCCTGCGCTGAGATCTCCGGGGATGGGCGCTCTCGTTCCTCCCGGGTGGTTCCCCGCAGGGCAAACTCGGCGGCGAGCGAGGGGGGAACGTGAGAAGGAGAAGGCCTTCTCAGAAGGCCCTCTCCTTCTTACTTCCCCCCTTGGGTCGCCGCCGACAGATGTCGAGGCCGTATCCGTGTTGTGCCCCTCCGAGGTTCGATCGGCTGCCGAGCAAAGGTGCGCGTGCCTCTGCGTGCGTGCGCCTCTGCATGTTGCGCGTGCCACTAAAGAGTAGGGCTGCAGGATGTCGCGGAGCACTTCGCCCTACAAGCACGCAGCTGACGCTGGCTCCCAGGGGCGCCAGCAAACATAGGTCCAAGTCGAACGCCTGGCCCCTTGGAACGGGCGCGCACAAGATATGGGCCCGCGGCCAGACTGCCATTCATTCTGGAGGTTTGCGTTTCCTGAGCCCGGTCCTTGCTGCCCAGAGCGTTTTCGCTGATGTCCAATTCGGACTACCAGGACCAAACAAAACAGGACAAGGAGCAGGAGGAGGAGGACGAGGAGGAGGACAAGGACGACCAGTGTAAACCCACGACTCATCAAATATGTTGGAATAAACCCTCCCTCCAGGCTCCCTCTTCATAGTGTCATCGGCCCCTGCAAGGCTTCATTTCCACTCAGGGAATACCCCTTTGGGAGACAACCGTTAGGCTATCCTGAAACGTGCCGAAACACCATTCGCGGAATTGCAACGCCACGAATCAATTTGGCTGTTGCGTCTTGACGATCCCGAACTGTGCCAGAACACCATTGCTGGGGCTTCAACACCGCGAATAAAAGTAACGGTTTCGCCCTGACAATCCTGAGTCGTTCCGAAACACCGTTTCTGGGCGTGCGAATGTGTGAAGCGTGTGCAATTTCTTAAGACCAACATGAGCGGCGCTAAGGCGAGAGCCACGCTTTCAAAGGAATCGCCCTCAATCCGTGAACTTCATGCAAATTTGTAAAACGAGTGTGCGCGGCGCTAAGGCGAGAGCCACATGTTGAAAACGGCCCGCCCTCAGTTCGTGAAACTCTTACATATTGTGAAGCGACTGTGCGCGGCACTAGCGCGAGAGCCACATTTTGGAATCGGCCCGCCTTCATCTGTGAAGCTGTTGTTCATTCTGAGCTTCAGGATCATTCATGGTGCGGATGTCTGAGGCGAAACGCCCAGCCCGCCCTTCCGACTGGCATCGGGGTGCGACCGGATTCCTAAGGAAAAGGAGCGGAGGAGGAGGAGGAGGAGGAAGAGGAAGAGGAGGAGGTGGTGGATATGAGCAGGATGTGGGGGAGGGGAGGAGTAAGATGAACTTGTGTACTATGATAATTTACAGAGGCAGAGGGCGGACGACTTGAAACGGCGCATGGCCCTCGCGGGCCCTGGCGGACAATAAACATTTTGGATATGGCAGACAATGGTGCCGTGGCAGGAGAAGGTGGAGGAGGAGGATGACCATGAGTAGTAGTAGTAGCAGGAGGAGGAGGAGGAGGAGGCTTGATGGTTGTGGTGCTCCTCGAGCCCCTCGCCCCCCCATATCTTGCTGCCTTCGCTTCTCTTCCTTCTACCCTCCTCTTCCTCCTTCCTACCTCCTTCCGAGTGCCGAGCGGCCCGTGCTGGGCGTCCCGCCGGACTCCGGACGCGATCAGGGGGATGCCAGCCCATCCTCGTGGAGGTGCCGCCCGCGACTCCTTAGGGGCGGGCCCATGTTGTTTTCCCCCCCGTTCCTGCCCAGGTCGCGGTGGCCGGCTTTCGCCACCGGGGTAAACCGACCATTTTCGGTCGAAAATTGTCGGTTTCCGTTGTTCCTTTCGTCGCATCGGCTGGATCCGCCTCTCTAACGTGGGTATGTGGTGTGGGGGTCTCTGCGGGGTTCCTCGTTGCCTCTGCTGGGCTCGCCTCGCTCTGGGCCGTTGCCCTCCTCCCCCTCCTTTCCCCCCCCCCTCCCTCCCTCTTCCTCCCCTCCCCCTCCCCTCCCCTTTGCTCTCCTTCCTCCCCCTCCTCCTCCTCCTCCTCCTCCCTTCCTCCCCCGGTCGCCCCCTCCCTCGTCGTCGTCCTCGTCGTCTCCCTTCGTCTCCGTCGTCCCCCTCGCCGCGGTGGGCGCGTTGCGCCGGATCCTGGTCTGGCGGAGGGGCGGGCCAGGGAAGCCCATCACCGACCGCACACTCGAGCCAGGGGCGAGGTGCCTCTCTTCTTGCCCCTCCACCCCCCTCCGCCTCCTCCCCCCCGCCCTTCCGGAGCCGCGCTGGGGCTCCCACGCAGGCCGAGCCCGCCCAGCCCGCCCGACCGCTCTGGCGGCCTGCCCCGCCTTCGGGAACAGGCCGCTCGAGGGTGGGGTTCTGCGGGGCTTGCCCAGCGTTAGGGCAGGGCCCCGGGGCAAGCGCAGCGCGGCCGCGCCGCCCGGCCTTTTCGGCGCCCATCCGGGCGCCAGCCGGGAGGAGGCGGCCAGGGGCCGGGGGGCACGGACCCGCAAGCAGGCGTTCCCCCTCTGGGGCGCTGGCCCGCCGACCCCGACTGCGTTGGCCCATAGGCCCTCCGGGGTGGTGGCGCTCGCGGTGGGGCGGTCGGCCCTGAGGGGTCTTTCACCATATGAGCAGTCCTCACCTCGCTTGCCCTTCCAGTCCATCTCTTCCTGGCCCTCCTCCTCGTCCCGCACCTGCTGCTGCTGCTGCTGCTGCTGCTGCTGGTGCTGCTGCTTCTCGTGGTCGTTCTCCTCCTCCTGCTCCTCCTCCTTCTCCTTTCCCCCCCCCTCCTCCTCAACTCTCGTTCCTGCGTCCTCATGCCCCCGACGTCGTTTTTTTTTTTTTTTTTTTTTTTTTTTTTTTTGTTTTTTTTGTTTTTTTTTTTTTCTCTGCAACGTCGACCCCCGGAGGTTTAGACCCCTTCCCCAGGACCGAATTTGCATTCTGAGCCGTTTTTTCACGGTCCTGAGGAGGCTCGGTAAGGGCTCCCAGAGGCCGAACATGGCGAAAACCTTCCCGTCGTGTTTTTTCACGACGCGAGGGGGTCGGTCTACCTGCCTGCCTGTCCCTGGCGGCGGTGGCGACGACACGAGCGTGGCTCTCCCCCTGCAGGCGGCAAGGTCATGCACTTCGACGGCTGCAGCCGCGGCGTCTTCCTGGCTGGGGACGCCCAGGTGTCCCTGGCCGGCGTGGACGACTTCTGCCGGCGCCCATTGTGTTGTTGCTGTTGCTGTTGCTGTTGCTGTTGCTGTTGCTGTTGCTGTTGCTGTTGCTGTTGCTGTTGCTGTTGCTGTTGCTGTTGCTGTTGCTGTTGCTGTTGCTGCTGCTGTTGCTGTTGCTGTTGCTGTTGCCGCCGCCGCCGCTGCCGCCGCCGCCGCCGTCGCCGCCGTCGTCGTCGCCGTCGTCGTCGCCGTCGTCGTCGTCGTCATTGTGGTCGTTGTTGTCGGCCTCCTCCTCCTCCTCCTCTTTTGCACTCGTCGTCGTCCTCCTCCTTCTTTTCTTCCTCTGCGG